GTTAATGGTTCAAACATGGTGGAATTGGTGTTGCTCTGTGAAGTCCTAATTTGGAGATTTTTTGTTTTAAAATTGTCGAGTGGCATCCATTGATGTTGCTCTGTTAAGTGATTGATTTTTTTTCATTAGGTTTATTTACTTTCAATCATCAACCATTTTTGGTTTGTTAATGGTTCAAACAGGGTGGAATTGAACCTGAAAGAGAATAGAAATGGAAATTGTAAAATCATTTTTTAAAAAATATGTGAAGTGTTGAAGTCATTAATTGACAAAGATTTCATGATTTGTGTAGGGTAAGTTTAGCACTTGAGATGGACCTCACCATTTCAACAAGTGTGGCATCTCTCACATTGTCAGAGAATGACAACATGGGGGATACTTTAGAGTCCATGGAGCAAGATCCCTTGCTAGCAACCCCTCCCCCCAATAAGTTCACAAATCTTGAAAATGGGGAACATGCGTTGTCGTCCAAGGGGTCTGAAATAGAGGAACCCCATATAGGAATAAAATTCAGTGATGAAAATGATGCATATGAATTTTACAAAGCTTTTGCATTGGGAGAAGGGTTTGCTGTCAGAAAGCGAAGTACTCACAAGAATAAGGACAGAAAGAGAATTGATAGGGAATATAAATGTTCTAAAGAAGGTTTCCGTAGGGTGAAAGAAGTGCAACCTAGAAAAAATTTCCTTGAGACAAGGTGTGGATGTGATGCAAAGATGTGCATAAGCGTAAATGCCAACAATGAGTGGGTTGTCACAAAGTTTGTTAAGGATCACAATCACTTGCTTGTATCTCCACATAAAGCTTGACTCATCCCATCACACCAAACAATATCGGATGCGACAAAGACAATGATAAACTCCATGAGCTTTGCTTTGGTAAAATCTCGGAATATCTACAATATCTTTTTAGAGCAGGCTGGAGGGATTGATAATCTTCATTGTTCACAAAAAGACATCGGAAACCAATTAAGAATCAAGAGAAAAAATTTTAAAAGGGAAGATGGCAATCGTGTGATGGAATGGTTAATCGATATGAAGAGATCCAATCCTTCTTTTTTTTATAAAGTAAAATTAGATGAAGAAGATCACATTGTCAGCCTACTATGGGTAGATTCCATGTCAAGGGTGTTCTACCATCACTTCTCGGATGTGGTCACCTTTGATATCACATATAAGACAAATGCTTTTGGCATGCCTTTTGCTCCCATAGTTGGAGTGAATCACCACCTTAGCACAACATTTTTTGGGTTTACCCTTATCTTTGATGAGAAAGTGGAGTCTTTTGTATAGGTATTTGAAAATTGGCCAGAGGCAATGGGTGGACGTCAACCCGGAGTAATTATCACCGATCAAGATCCTGCAATGACCGCTGCAGTGAGACAAGTATTGAATAAAAGCAGATATCATTATTGTAAGTGGCACATACTTTCAAATGTCAAAGAAAAATTGTGTCATGTCTTGAGAAGGATTCCATCTTTCCCTGAAATATTCAGAAACTGTATAATGAGCCAAACTGAGGAAGACTTTGAGTCAGAATGGAAATCTCTTGTTGAGAAATTTGATCTTTAACAGAATGAATGGATCAATAGATTTTTCATATGTCAAAAGCAATGGATTGATGCATACATTGCAAATGCATTCATAGCAGATATGTCATCGACTCAGAGAAGAGAAGAAATGAATAAGCACTTCAAAATATATGTGACTTCTCATACAAGCTAAACTACTATAAAATTGCATGATAAAAACCTTCTTAAGATAAGAGAAAATGACTTGAAGAACATGACATCAAAGCCTTTTCAGAGGACCACGTGTGACATCGAGGCTCACGCTTCAAAGATATATATACACAAAGTTATGAAGTTGTTTGGAGAAGAAGTTGCAGAAGGCGTCAATTACATGAGTGAAATTATTGAAGACAATTACATAGTTGCAATATTTAAGGTATCAAAACGTGAAAGTGGAACAGGGGCCGACAATGTAGAGTTCAATCGTCACAACCAAACTTTTGTTTGTACTTGCCACATGGCTAGGCATTATTTGTAGGTATGGGATTAAGGTCTTGATGGTAAATGATATTTTTGAAATCCCATCGCATTACATAATGAAGAGGTGGACAAAAGATGTGATGATAGGTGTTGTACTTGATGCCAATGGGAAACAAATTCAAGGTACCTCTGATCTACCCCGTTCAATTCGTTTTAATGAGGTTTGTCAAGTCACTAGAGAACTAGCAGAGCATGCTTCAGAAAATGTAGAACTTCATGCATTTATAATGTCTGCATCTGTGAATGATCTCCAAATTACCACGTCTGAGATGCAATTTTGTGCGATTTGCATAATCCATTTTGATGTAAAATCGTAAAAGTCCATAGATTTAGGAGTTGGCGGATTAATAATATGCAGAGATGAAACATAGGGATGATATACAGTGAAATAGCTCTGAAAAAATGCAGCTAAAAATATTCAAGAACTCGATAAAACCATGCCAAAAGTAAATTGAATTTGTACCTTGCTGTGAATGGTTGATTGCAACCACTATTTTTTATTTAGAGTTGATGAGAATGGAGGAGGCTTCCAGTGAGAGAGATTCTAGAGTACACGGAATCTAGGGTTGCTGATTTTGGGGATTTAGGGTTGTTGAATTTGGGGATTTAGGGTTGCTGAGCGAGGAGGTTGATTGTTATTCTCGGGAGAAAGAGAGAGAGAGAGAGAGAGAGAGAGAGAGGAGGGAGGGATGAGGCTCACAGTAGAGAGAGAGGTGAGGAGGCTCATCGGAGAGAGAGACAATGGGAGGAGGCTCACGGGATTTGGAGAGGGTGGGAGCAGGCTCACGGGATTTGGAGAGGGTGGGAGCAGGCTCACGAGGGAGAGAGAGAGGGATGCCAGGGTTTAGCTACAGAGAGATGGTTTCACCGAGGTGAGAGTTTAGGTACAGGGAGAGATGCCGTGCGCAGGCTAGAGAGAGAGTGTCAATGCATACAATTATTAATTGTCACTGCCTCAGGAAACCACAGCCATTCGATTTCAAGAACAAATAAGAGCCATTCGACTCACTCTTTTTCTGTAGGCGAGATGGCTCATCAAATCATTTTCCTATATATATATATATATAGATATATATCCACACATGCAAGCGGCAATCCAAAGTATTGGTAACCTTATGTTGACATCCACGGACCAAAACCATCAAAGGAAAGGACAAAATACAGTATAAAACAGTTTCAAAATGAATTAATACCCAACAAAGAACCCAAACCAAGAATAAGAGGCATCAGCCCAAAGAAAGTACCACTTCCAAAGAAATCATTACTTGGCTGATTATTCATCACAAAAATCTGATGCCCCACAGGTATAACATAACGTTAAGCTTTGGATTCATCAAATTACAAATTACAGAAAATTTCCATTTTCGTAATCCGCGAACTAGAAATGATTCACTATGAGCGATAAATTAGTATTTTTTATCCAGCTCCTAAAAATCCAACTCGATAACTTCACTTCAAAAAAAATTCAACTTGATAATCTCAACTACGTCAAAAATGGTCAAAAGAGTAGTTTTGTATTAATGAACATGTTAGAAATTTCGAACGATCAACATAATGGCAAAATATTTTATGCAAGAAATCTCAAAAGGTAAATTCTTTGGAAAGATAGTGCTCCCACTAAAGCAAAGTGAACTTGTTCACTAAAGCACGCACACACACGTAGAGAGAGAGAGAGTCGTAAATATTCAGGTTTAAATGGGTCGAGCCCACCTTAACCTATGGTGGTTCCAAGTCAAGTGGATTCAGACCGAAATGCCATGTCGGTTTCAAGTTGAGAATCATATATATATAAGTTTATAACCATTTACATTTTTCAATTAAAAATAGAGCTTGCAAAAGTGAGTAATCTTGTCATGAAATTCATTGAAAGGGTTTTCTCCGTACCAACATGCATGCATTTAGCCAAGAGCCAAATGTGTTTGTCGCTGCCTCCAACCAAAGATCCCTATTTCTAACCACAATTTGGTTTGTGGTGAGGCAATAAGCTGGCATGAGGGTCCCTTGACAAGTGAACTTGACAGAATCAACGTCTCTTCTTTACTTAAATTATTAACATTCAGCAGATGTTGACCATAAAAATTTATTTATTGGCGAGTAAAATGATCTGGGGCCACGAAGGTCTGGAATTTGATCTGGGACCACAAATCTGTAGAATTTGTTTGTTGCTACCTTTCTCCTGTTGTCTTTTGTATCGAACAGTGAATGGGTAGAATTTGTGTTTCGATTTTTTTCTCATTTTTAAGATTCTCAAATAGGTGAAAATTACAATAATAAAGAAAGCCAGGTACTTTCACCGCTTTGCGTGGTTACCAAACACCCCCTATTTGTTGCTGCCTTCCCTCCTCTCCTGTTGTCTTTTATCATAGATTACGTACTGATTACATACTGCTCTATATAGAAAACATTAAAGAAAAAAGGTTTATGAAGAAGTAACAAGCTTTTGATAGGCGATTTCTTAAAATAGATGAAATTTAGGGAAAAGACTCCTAATAAAAGAACCCTATGGCATGAGATAACATTTATTATTTGCATTTGTTTTGAAATGTACACGCAATAATGTCGATGTAGACACAAGTGTCAAGCATCTATAAGTGTCCCAAGTAGCTAGTACAGCTAGACATATTTATACAATAATATTATATTTACTAATATCTATGGTAATTTCTAATGTTCTTTCACATCTAACATTGTTGGATAGGCATAGAGCTCAACTAATAGTATCAGAGATTGACCCTTGCCTAATGCAACTCTCTCTCTCTCTCTCTCTCTCAACTAATAGTATCAGAGATTGACCCTTGCCTAATGCAACTCTCTCTCTCTCTCATGACTTTCAAATTGCAAGATATATCATTGTTTCTCGCTCCGCTTTCCTAAATCCTTTATCTATAGACTCTTTCAGATAGTGTCCATAGAAATGCTTCCTGTAACACCAAATTTTGGCTAGTTGAGTTTCAAATGTGTTCACAACTAGAGTCTAGAACCAAATCCTAAAAATATTGTCTTAGTCGGTTATTGATCAAATTTGTAAAGCATGTAAGATTCATTTGCTATTAAAATCGTTTTCTCTGTATCATAGCCATCCGATATCGTGACGGCCTGATTTTCCGGGATATTAGATTAGAGTTTTATCCAATTTTGTAACCATCTAGACCTGTCTTCACTTGCTTTCAACAATGGCTCTTATTAGCCATCCGATCGCGGGCTATGCGTCGCACCCAATCCCAAAGCTCATGTCTATTGTTATTTGGGCCTTTCGTCACCCAAAATGAAGATCCTCTAAAATTAGTCTTGATATGTGCTCGTTTGGGATCTTTTCACCATGTAAGGTACTAGATTCCTGTCGGTACAAATGACCGTGTGCCTTTGTAAGAGGTGAGTCTTAGATCAGGAAAAATATTTTACCCTTCCTTTTAAGAGTGTTTAGATAAAATGATGTCTGGATGCCTGTCCCTTCGTTTTAAGCTTGTCTTTGAGGATAGGTTTCCACATGCAAATCATCGGTTGCTTTGATACATAAATTGGGGACGGTGATACGAATCTTGATCTGCCATTATGTTTTAAATGTCATACCCTCAATGAGGCCATAAGTCCCCATTTTTTTTCAAGCTACTTTCAACCACATTCTTTTGGGCCTACCCTTTGCCATTTTCAGTCATTCTACCTGAACTAATTTGCACCTCCTAACAAGTGTTGTACTTGATCGGTGCCACATGATCAACCCACCTAAGTCTACTCTCTATCATCTATCGTCTATTTGTGTCAGGCCTAAATTATCCCGAGTAGATTCATTTTGAACTCTAAATCTTCTTGTCTTGCCACTCATTTATCTCAACATCTTCATCTCTACTACACTCATTCTATGGGTATAATGTTTTTTGTTTGCCTAACATTTCGGCCTATAGAGCAAAGTTGGTCTCACAGCTGTCCCCATAGAACTTTCCCTTCAACTTCATTGGTATGCGGCAATCATATAAAATTCCAGTTTCATATCTATACTTCGCCCACCCAGCTATAATTTTGTATGCAACATCTTTCTCAATCTTTCCATTTTCCTGAATTATCAACCCGAGATATTGAAAGTGATGTCTATTTTACTTCCTAACCATCAATCTTAACTATTTCCTCGTCTCTACTCCAAAAAAGGCATCTATAGGAATGGGTAATCCTACATCTTTACAATCAATAGGGCATTCTAAGTTGGGAACCGTCATCCAACCTGTTAGAGATTTGATGGGTAAGATGAGGTCCGAATGCTTGCCCCAAGGCTTTAAATACGTTGTCAAGTACAGGTTGCCATATATATGATCTAGTTTCACACTCAATAGCTAACAAAATAGGTAATGGAGTGCTCTGATACTAATATAACCTCAAACAGCTAGACCACCCAATCTGGATGAGTCTACTAGCATGACAAAATAGGCAACTATGGTCCCATATAAGTAACACTCACATAAAATCTCTAGAAGCGCTAAAGACCTTTTAAGGCCACGAACCCCAATGTAGTGTGCATGCCCTAACTCCCCCAAGGTCCGTAACATGCCCTAGGATGTGAGTTTTTGCCTAACAAAGGGGGACAAAGTGAAAAGTTGAAAAACTATCTAAAAACAAGTGCTTTTGTTCTTTTCGTATTACATCATCATAGCCTTTTTCTAATTAATTGGAGACGGCTACATGAATCCTGATCCACCATTTTGATCTATTTAAGGCCATACCCTATATGCTCTAACAAAAGTGCTCTGATTCCGATGTTGGATTCTTTGGGTGAATCCCAACATATCAAAAACACAAAAACATTAAGATCAGATAAAATTAAATCATTTTTTAAAATTTTATTTCCCTTTTGCAGTTGATGTCAATATTTCCCTTCCTTTCGTGCATAGTCCCTTTGGGATGAGAGATTAATGGTCACATGTGTAGCCTCTCTTTTAATTATGATAACTAAAAACACATTATACACACAACACACGCAAAGCCTTTAATGGACTGTCTGTGAGTTCTTAAGTCACTGATAAGGGTTTTCTTTTTAGGAGGGCTCTAGTGAAAAAAACTAGGAGAAACAGAGGGAGTTTTAGGTGTAAAGAGAGATGAACTTTTTGAGAGGCACATGGTTTCAATTTTTCTCCCATGAAGAAATTTTTTCTTCTCTCTAGACCCCCTCATAGAGGAATGTCTAATGAGGGAATTCTATATAAAAAATGAGCAATCTTTTTTGTTTTGAATAATATTTCCTCTAGTCAACTTCATCCTAATTTAAAATTTCATATCTCATATAATTCCGTTTTTCCTTTCTCTTTTAATATTAAGAATAACAGAAATGCAATGAAGATCCTGTATACTACAAATCCAACACTTGTCTCTCTTTTGCAAATAATATTTGGGAGAAGTTAGTGTCAGAAGATGACGTGAACCCACCAATACGTTTATTTTGTTAGTAGCAAGTAAAATGCTCAAAATAGTTCCAATAAATCCAATGTGCATTGAAAAAACCATCCCAAAATCTCAATTTTTTACTTTTTTTTTAACGAGCACAAAATTTTATTAATGAATGAGGATTACAATGAAATTACAAAATAAAAAATGAAGAAATAACCATAGCGGTAATTTGCACTCCTACTTTAGCTAATGTGCCTTCTCATTAGCTTCCCTATAGACATGGTGAAAAGGCTATTTAATAAGATCGACAACATCTTATATTTCTTAGTGAATCCATTACTTAAAATTTGAAATCAAGAGAAGAATTTTGAAAAGGCTAGAATAATACGTACAATTTTTTTGGAATAATATGCACAATTTATGTGCATATTGGGGACCAAAGATTGGCCATTCCTCCACTCGTTTCCATCAAGTGAACTATACATTAATGTCCACTGTCCAGTCAAGACAATGAAAAGTATTGCGTCCACGTGAACCACATAATGTGGATGAAAGGGTGTACATGTACTCTTCAAAGGCCTAGATTGAATCTAGGTTCATTGGCGGGCAACAAATTAACTTATTTTTGTTTAAAAATTTATTTCATATGAAAATTGCGGT